TTTATAATTAATATCTAAATATTCATGCGATAACATGTATACATGACGTGTGGTTGGCATGACTTATAATAGTTAAACGAATAAGTATTTAGTTTTCATAACTAATGTCGAATAAGCTCGAGTTTGAACTCAAGATTGAAATCTTCGTTTTGGTCAAATCCTTCCCAAACTCAATTAATTTGGTAGAACTTTCCCCCATTTTACACCACAGTCCTCAAATCGAGATTCGTATTCCTCTCTAGACTTCTTGAATTCACCATTCCTAATAAACCGATCAACAGAAGCATCATTTTCAACCTTCTTCGGTCCACGTCTAAAATACCCGGCCAAAATCAAAATTATTAGAAGCATCAATCAACAGATTTAGACTTTTCATGTCTTGCTTTCTTCATTTCCACAAACTCATTACAATGCAAGACATCATTCACACCATTCTTCCCAATAATTTTCATATGAAAACAAGGACTTAGCTTCCAAAACTATTGAAGGTTATCAGAATAATCACCAAAGAATTCAAGCCTTTTTTATAACTAGAATCCCTGGACAACATCATTAAACACATATCCACCTCTTCTTGTTCCTACTCTATCCCTAAAACAGATGAAGACTTGGTGGGGAGAAAAAAGATTATAGTTCGGAGATGAAGTGAGCGGCGGAGTCGCAATCGCCGAGAGAGGAATGACATAAGTCATCGTCTTCGAGAGATGAAGCGACCAGAGTCGTGGTGACGAAGGAATTAGAATTTAAGTTTGATATTCAAATTAAATAGGATGCAAACGTCACTTTGACATAATTTAGAAGGCAAAATGGTAAATTACGACATCCCCCTAATAGTTGAAAAACTTGCATATATCCCCTATTGAGCTCGAGTAAGCTCGCAAGTGGCTCAACTCCCTTGACACCCCTATTCCGAACAAGTAGCAACAAGTTTTTGGCTATATGTTAAATTATGACATCCCCTAATGTTGCAAAACTTGCATAGTCCCCTATTGGATTTGAGTAGCTCGCGAGCAGCTCAAGCCAAGTATTGGGAAGCTTAACTTGATTCGACTCAGCAGTGTAGTTGCTCAAGCTGCTTGCAAGCGACTCGACTCACTTGACACCCTTATTCCGACAAGTAGCAAAAAGTTTTTGGCTATAGTGAACTATAGCAAATAAGTTGTGAATTATCTATAACTAGTTATATTCTTTTCAATTTTGGTTGCCAATTCACGTAGCAAAACAAGCTTTGCCATAGCAAGGGTTCATTAGAATATGAATTTGCCAATTTTAAAGGATCTTTTCCCCAGTTTTGGAGAGGTTGTTTAGGAAGAATTTCAAGATTTCTATCTCCTAGGAAAGTTCCCAATGATTTATATTTTAGAAAAGTCAGATAAAGAGGAAATTAACACAAAGAAAGCTAATTCTCCATAATCTACAACTAGTAAAAAAAAAAAAAAAAAAATGAAAAACCTTAAACCTAAAAGAAGCGTGTAAGGCACAAAACACCAAAGAGAAAATTCTCTGTAAGGTGAGCGATTACAATTTAATGTAATATTATGACGCGTTTGGTTAGGGATGTTGGATTATTGGAAAGTTAGATTACTTAAGATTACTAGAATCTTAAGAAAATATGTTTGGTTAATTGGTGGGTATGTATATTAATATGTTTAGTTGAAGGAATAGATTGGTGGGTATGTTTTTTTAAATTATTGAATTGTCCTCTAATTAAATATTTATTATATTATTTTTAATATTGACTATTAGTTGGATTACATAACCCCTTACATTTAAAAACTTAGCAAAAACAACCCCATAATAAATTTTGGAAAATCAACCAAACACCCCCATCAACCCACCACTGCGGCCACCGACAGCCAGCAACCTAACGGCGCACAAAGGCAGGAATGGCCTCGTGCATCGTATGCCTGACGGACAGATTTGGCTATTGACGAATCTGGCCTTTTATGGCCATATTAGATCTGGCCATCAACGGCCAGATCTGGTAAGATCTAGCCATTCTGGCTATATCGATGCACGGCAACTATTTTCGGCCTTCCATGCGTCGTTTCTACGCAGCTGGCCGCGGTGGTGGTTGTCGACGGCAGGTGGGTGGGGGTGGTGGCTTGGGTGGGTTGCAATTTGTTTTGAATTCAAGGTTATATTTGTCAAAAAAGTTAATTAATTGGGGTGAAATAGTAAAAGCTATGGGTGCATTTGGCTTATTGTTTTTATCCATATTCTGGATCCTATTCTTCAAATGTTGTTTGGCACGTTATTCCCAAATATTAGTCTATTTTTTAATTACTTTTAGACCCTATAAGTTTATTAATTTCATTAAATACCCCCCAAAAAAAGTTTAAAAACTAACAAAAACACCCCCACCCGCCAATACTTGTCAGATTCGGGCAACCACTGCCGGTGGTAAATAGAATCTATCAAAACATCACAACACACTCGGAAATTGCCGGTAATGGCGGATCTGGCAATCACCGATGGCCAAAGAAATGGCTGTCGTTGACTGTCAACGACGGCCAAATCTTGGCCATCGTTGACAGACAATGACGGCCATATCTGCCTTTTTCGGTCGTCGAAGCCCATATCCGGCCTTAGATTTGGCCTTTTCCGGCTAGATCCGTGGTGGATAAGGTCGGAAAAGGCCATATCGATCGAATACAGTCTAGATCCGACAGGTATGTGTGGCCATTTCCATTTTTCGGTCAGATTCCAGTGGTGGTGGCCGGAATCTGGCACTGCGGGTGGTAAGGGGTTTTTTGTCATTTTATAAATATTTAATATATTAGGGATTTTATTAAATTAGCAAACCTTGGGGGCTTTTTCATAAATTTTTAAATTTTATCTCGTAATACTCCCCTATCCAATTTCCAATACTATCCCCAAAATCTTACCAAAATAATAAACCAAACGCACCCTATATTTATGTAAATAAATTAAAAATAAGGGCATTATTGTCTTAAAATTTTATTAATAAGGGATAGAATTGTAACAAAAAAGATAACTCTGATAATCTTAGAATACTTAGAAAATGGAGGAATCAGATTACTTCCATATTACTAATAGTAATCACTATTGGTATTTGAAGATTATTGGTATCTTATATTAGTTGCAACCAAACATGATAATTAAGTAATATAAGATGACTTAACCCTAGTAATCCCATATAACCCCCAACAAAACGCCTCCTATATGTACAAAGTTACTCGTACAAAGAAATGTGTTTTAACAGGATTTGATGATTCTAAATTAGCGATAATTTAAACAAATTAAAGGAGATGATAGTCAAACATATATGGTTGTCAATGAGTTTATAAGGATAGTTTGTATATGTAACATTACTTAAATTTAATATATAGATCTTATTTATACACACCAACAAAGTAATATGTATGTTTATTTTTCCATTAAACTATCTTTTGTTCTTATAGCATAAAAGATTAGGGTTTATGACATGAAAGTGGGTATAAAATTTTTGTAAAAGATAAAAATAAAATTTAATTTTATGGCTTGAGGGCCTCACGGCCCATTGTTAACCCAACTGTTGTCATCATTTTTTTTTTTTTTTTTAAACTACTAATTTAGTATTTGACTGTAAAGACATTATTTTTGTTGATAAATTACTTTAGTTTTTAAATGTGACATAATTAATCTCAATTTATATAAATCCCACATTTTCGTTAAGTAAATTCCATTTCATCTTAAGAAAAAGATAATATAGTAAATTAAACTCACGCAAGCCTCCTTTTTATAAGGGTTTGGATATATACACCCAGATAATCATTATTTTCTAAAATGAAGGTTTTAAATAAATGAAAAGTTTAGTTTAAAATCTTGTGATTTCACAATTATACCTTTAATGAAATACATAGAATACATCTTTTACATATTTAAACTATAAAGATGATATCTCTAGCATTTGAAAATATAATCCAATAGTCTAATTAACCAGGTGTTGTCGAGCTTGTAAGCTCATCACCCAGTTTATAAGCTCTAAAATCAAACTGACATGTTTGTTTTATAGTTTTTTGGTTTTAGAAAAAAAAAGCTGGGGAAACTTACCTTTTTTTTTGGCTTATTAGCATTCCTCTTATAAACTATTTTGACCAATTATATACCATATTACTCATATTTAATATAATTTATATATTTGCTCATTATTTTATTTTGTCTAAAGAATCTAAAAATTATTCATATAAATTTGTAATGAAATTTTGTCTGTAAAGTATTTGTTTATTTAATTCTAAAATTAAATTATATTACAATATGATTGAAATATATTTTGATAATACTATAGTAACAAAATTTAGTTGATATAATTTATTATTTGATAAAATAATCTAGTGCCCTTTTTAGTCATTTTAATTATAAAATATACTTCTAAGTCACATTTTACCAAACGTATTAACTATTTATCAGTTACTTAAAAGTATTTTAACTAAACACATAACTGTATAAATTTTAAATGCTTATAAACTTAAATTACCTTATGAGCACTAGCCGTATAAGCTTAAATTATATCATAAGCTAATTTTCATAAACTTAGCCAAATTGACTCTAAAAACACACTAAAGCATACTAGATTGTACAAAACTTATTCTAGCAACTTTTGTTTCCTGTAATTTTTTGTTGAGGACTATTAGATTCAATATGGCTAAATCTACCTTTTAAACAAAAACTTGGGCATTTTGAATCAAAATTAGTAAACTGTAAATATATGACCCAACTCTTTATATAATCCAAACTTTTTATTATAAAGAGTTTGTCTATAAAAACAAGAGTCCAATATGAAATATGAAATATGCTCTTTAAATAATAAGTATCGTTCAAGATGCTCTTAAGCCAAAAGCAATGGCTAGGTCAAAAGTAACTCACAATTGATTGATGCTACCATATTCTAAAATTCAGTAAAACAGCATCTGCGGCCAAAAGCAATAACTAAAGCAAATCTCAAGCTACCAAAGAGGCTTTGTAAAAGATTCTGCAAATCCATGCAGAAACCATAGTTATCATCTTAAATGTGCAATGGTAGCACAAATGTAGATTAGCTTTATAAATGAAAACAGATAAGGTATCAATTTGACGGTTTCTAAGAACCGGTGGTCCCCGGGCATGGTAATGTTGCCAGCCGATACCTTAGCTAATAGTTAAACCCTTCTCCAATTATCTAAAAGTCTCCCTTTAAACACAAATTCAGGGATTTATTATATTTCTTGCTATTGCGAACACACAAAACAAAATGACTTATTGGAGAACAAGACCATAAACAAACTTCAACCTCTGATTCTGCTCTCTTCCACACCAATAGGCAATACTTAAGGAAGAAGATCACCTATTTATCTACTGCTTTGGCCTTATCTCGATTCCTTGAACAATGAGACCACCCTTCCAGTCACCAGCCCTCACCTCCAAAATACTCATTTCCAATTCACCATCTTCATCTCCTGCATTGTAACAGTCACCTAACTCAACCTCAAGCCACGCGTCTCCTCTTTCCTTGGGATGATGGTCGTCATTCTCTCTCGGCAAAGATTCCTGCCATCCCAAACTGCGGCTGCGATTAAATAGACCAACACGCCTCCCTAACCGATATTGCATTCTCCGCCCTCTTATTGCATCCAAATAGACAGATCGCTTTTGGCTTTCGCTTCCCACAAGTCCAATACTAACCTCTACAGGTTGACATTCAAACCCATAAGACCCTGCCGTCAGCTTGAACACGAGATAAGCCGTGTAATGTGTCCCTGGGGACAGAATGCAAGTACTAATCTTTCCACGTATCTCAAGCCAACACACACATATAAGCTCAGCAACCTCTTGGAACCTGTAAAATTGTCAATAAACTTAAGCTCATCCAGAAACAGTTCGGAGAAAACTAAGATCGACAAGAAAAAGCCGTGATATAAACCTCGTGCCAGGAAGAGAAGTCCATCTCCAATATGTGGGAGTATCACCCCACACAATGATGAGGTCCCTAGCAGATATCATGTAACATTTCTTCCCACTCTGCTTATCCAAGGAAAAGGCCTGTTCAATGTCAATAACACAATTAGATACATAATACATTACTGCCAAAGAGGAAGGGATAGTTTTAATAAACGCCCAAAGTTTGGAGAAAAGCTAATTAGACCCAAAATGTTTTGAATTGTAAGAAAACCTCCCTTCAAGGCCATTAATTAGCTTAAAATTTTCATCATCAATTATTTCAATTAAGGTTTTAGAATGAATTAAATAGTCATACAGTTTGAAATTCTTTACTAAATAATCATTCGCTTAAGCGATATAAGTTTATCTATAAGCTTTATCTCTTAAATATATGTGTTAAATCGTCTAAGCGAAATTCATGATTATTTAATTTATTCTAAATTTGAATTGGTGTTTTAATAGTCAACCCATCAAAGTCTCCTCAAATTGAAAAACCAGAAACAAAATCACGAAAACTAACCTTTTTCCCATCATCAATGAGAATCGGGTGGTCACAGAGGCTGAGAAAGAGCTCCTTCTTCGAAGGCAAACACAGCAAAGAAGACGGAGAAGACGACGACGGCGGGCAAGGGGAGGACTTAGAAATGATGGACTGGTACTCGGGGGGCAAGAAGCGCTCCCAAACGGCGTCGGATTCGGCGGCGGACTTGAAAATGGAAGAAACCAAAGACAAGCGGCAGGCGTCACGGGGGGTGGTGCAGGAGATGACGTTGGCGATGCAGCCTTCTGGTAATAAGCTCATGGGGCTTTCTGGTTCGCGTTGTTGTTGCGGGTGGTTAGTGGTTCGTTGGAGGTGTCTTGCTATGGAAGTAATGATGGTGATGAATCTTGGTGGGGTTTTATAAAGAAAAAGGAGAGAGGTTCAATCGAAAGCTTAGCGGTTAAGGCTTGCTATATTTAGGATGTCGTTTGACTCGTTTAGATGGATCTTTTTTAGAAAAATTAATATTAATTATTTATTTGATAAAACGTTTGTGGGACCCACATTTTTAAAAGACTTTAATTAGAATAATCTCCTCAAACATTTATTAAATTAGAAAACGCCAACAATTTTAGGAAATAACAAAATCTGTCGGTCATTAAACCTTATGTGTTCAAATAAACCGCGTAAGATCAATCACTAACAATATAAGTTTAGAGACTAACTGACAGGAAGGAGGTTTTTGTCATTTCAAAAACTTTAAAAAAAATTTTGTTAGTTAATTAAATGTTGATGCATTATATGTTGTCTTCTTAAAATATTTTCATAATCATTTTCCAACACTTCATATGATAATAATTATATGTTGCGTTATCAATTTGACGTATCATAGTTATACGAGCGAAAATAAATAGATTTTTTTTTTAAAGAAACATCATTATTAATGTCCAAAAAATCTACATAATAATAGTTAGAGGAGTGTCAATCACAATTGCGCGTGTTAAATTTTATAACTCTCTTCATAACATATGTATGACTTGAGTTGAATATGTATTTGTTTGTGAGAAAATTTACACGTGTCATGAAAAGGTTAGCGATTTAACTGTATTTAACATTTTTCGTATAATTTATATGTAACATGATTGATGCGACATACAAGAGTTAAATAAGAGAGCATAAAGCTATATTATTGAAAACATTTCATACACGTTTATGTGATATATAATTGTTAAATCTTATATGTTTATTGGAAATTTTTTTTTTTTTTAATAACTTCTAATAGTTCATACAGTAGAATGCATGCATGCATGACATGATTGATGATGACTTACACTAGTTAAACGAACACGTATTTACTGGTTTTCATAACAAATGTCCAAAAATTCGTTAAAAACAAGGTATGAACATATACCTGTCTTATGAAATGTTTTCATAATCATTGTCCAATACTTTGCATGACAGTAATTATATGTGACATGATTAATTTGACGTAGTATAGTTAAACAAGTGAACATCCGTTTGTTTTATTAAAGAAGTTTCATAATCAATGTCAAAAAAAATTATATGATAATAATTTAAGGATGTCACATGTCATAGTCGTTAGCTTTTCTTATAATACCTGCATGTCGTGAGTTGAATATGTATGTGTTTGTGAGAAAATTTACTTGTCATAGAAAGAGCTAGCGATTGTCACAATTACATGCCCGCATTTAGCACTTCTCTTATAATTTATGTGTGACTTGATTGATGCGATATACAATAGTTAAATAAGAGAACATAAAGCTATTTAATTGAAAATTTTCCATTTCTGGTATCCAAAATGTCCGTGATTATTAATGTGAGATACTATAAATAAACAAACAAACATACATGTTTTTTTTTTTTTTTCAAGCTCAAAGGATTAGATAAATCAAAATATTATTATGATAGATAGTTGCACCTAAGAACTTAAGGAATAAATCAAACCTCATTAACCGTCAAATCAATCCATTTGAGTTAAGTAAACCTAAATTTGTCTTATTAAAAAAATTTCAAAAACCATTGTCCAACCATTTACATAATAACACACATATATAGTAAAACTTCTTTATAGTCATAATAGTGAGATCAACTAATTTTATTACTATGAAGAAGTTATAACCTACTAGAGGTGTAGTTACAAAAATTATTATTTTGATTTCTTATTTTATAAGTCATGTTTTAGTAATACAATATTAGGATTTCAATTCATATTTTAGTAGTATTAAGATTTCAATTCAGTACTTCAATTGACTATTTTTTAAATGGATAAAAGATCGTGTCTTGGAACTAGTAAAGATAAGTGTCATTGATGAAACTGCAAATATAGTTGATGCATAGTTAATTGATGTGAAGCCACAGACAATTGTCAATGGTTTTAAGCATTGCAAAATTAGGACCTCTAATATCGATGAATTACAATTTACAAATGAAGTGGATGAAAAGAATAAAAGAATCATTACAGAATTGAGTGATCAGATTCGACAACTTCTCTACACTAATCATATGAGTATTAATTTTTTCCTCGATCATCCAAATGAGCATCAATTCGTGTATGCTTTAATTGAGGAAATCATTACTACAATTAGACAAGAAGAGAAAGTAAATAATCATGAGGATGATAGTACGGAAATACAAAAAGTTTTATGCCATTAAACACTAAATATGCTTGAGAAGCTAAAAATATTTTGGTTTCAACAAGAAGATGTCCATGCTAGCGAATTATTACGTATTTGCAAGTTAAAATATGTGATAACAACTCCAAGACATAAATTATTGTCTCAAACAATTTTAGATAAATATTTTATTTTCTCTAAAACCTTTAATGTAATATAAAATATATTTTTTATAATATACAAATAATTATTATTATTTGGAGACAACTTTCTTTAAGGTAAGAATTAGAAAAAATATTACTTATTATAATGCAGAATTTATTCTTATTTATAACTATCATAAATTGAGATTATAATTTTTTATGATTATGTAGAATTTATTCTTATATAAAATATCATTATAGAGATATTTTATTTTTGTATATAAGTTACAAAAGTTTCATATTGGATTAAGAGTTAAGGAATGTGTAAGCGCAAAAGTTAAGGGTGCGTTTGGTTTAGTATTTTGGATAGGATTTTAGGGATAGTATTAGGTTATTGGATATGGGAGTATTACGAGGTAAATTTTAAAAATTTATAAAAAAGCCCTTAGGTTTACTAATTTAAATAAAGACCCTAACATGTAAAATGACAAAAACACCCCCACCATCTGCAGTGTCAGATTCCGGCCACCACCGCCGGAATCTGGCCGGAAAATTTCGTTACGGCACAGACTTGTCGGATCTGTGCCGTAAAACGTAATTATGGCCTTTTCGGCTAGATCCATGGTGGATCTGGCCGGAAAAGGCCAGATCTACGGTTTGTTTTGCCGTCGACGGCGGAAAAGGCCAAACGACGGCCATCTTTGGCCGTCAGCGACGGCCAAGATGTGGCCGTCGTTTTCGGTCACGAGGGCAATATTTGGCCGTCGTTGACGCATACGACGGCCATTTTCTTGGCGTCGCTGACGGCCAGATCTGGCCTTTCCGGCCAGATGTGGTGGATCTGGCCGGAAAAGGCCACAGCGGTGAATTCCGCCATTCTGGTCGGAAGTTTGGCCGTTGTACAGATTCCGGCTATCACCGACGGTGGTTGCCGGAATCTGACAAGTTGGGTTGATGGGGGTGTTTTTGTTAATTTTTAAACTTTTTTTTCAGGGGGTATTTAGTGAAATTAATAACCTTATGGGGTTAAAAGTAATTAAAAAAAATAGGGTAATTTTTGAGAATTGTACCAAACGCAATTTGAAAAATAGGATCCCGAATAGGGATAAAAATATTAAACAAAAGCATACTAAAATTCCGATTCAAAATTTAAAAAGTCGTAGTAAGTTTTAAGCGCGCGCGCTTTTAAAAGAGGTGTTAAATATATTTAAATATAAAAAAATAATAATTTACACGTAGGTCGGTGGATTTTACTAAGATGTGTCGAAAGCAGCGGAAATTAAAAGTAGAAAGCTTTTAAGATTCCACGTCAACTTTCAATCTAGATCTTGGGAAAAGATTAAAAGCTCTTTAGCCGCTACACCTAAAAAGGGTAGTTTTATTTCCCCCATGGAGTTTAACTTCACTATTTCTAAGCCCCGAAGTTTAAAGTATTTATATATATCCTCTAATTTTAATAAATATTAAGAAAAAATAGATAATTAGAGACAAAATTTGGGTTTTTAAACTGCGATATATCAAATGAGGGTATTCTGATATCTAAAAATTAAAAAACTTTTTATTAATTGATTAAGTTAATGTTTATAAATCATGGGGGGAAATCAGTATCTTAAAATGTAGGACTCGAGGCTAGAGTAGATGACGAAAAACTAGGGGCTTTTTTAAGTAAATAAATAAATAAAAGGATTAAAAAGTAAATCTAAATAAAAACCTAAAAGGAATAAGATGCTAAATAAAAGGTTATTTATGCCCTTACAAAAATGTGCTTACTGTTTTCAAAAGTATTTTTGTGCTTACTTTTTTCAGAAAGTACTAGTGTATTAACAGTTTGCTGTTGGGTTTATAGAGGACGGGAGCATTAATCGTGGCAAAATCAAGAAAATATGTTTGAGGGTTGAAATATAAATATTATTGAACGTAAAAGACTAGAGGTAAACAATTTATTTAAGATTAAAAGGGATAAAATGTAATATTTCCAAAATAAAAGGCAAAAAAAGTATATTGATAAATATATATATTAGTTTTAGGGTTCTAACAATAATAAATTTACAATTTATTACTATAAATAAGAAGAGGAATAAAGAATAATAAAAGAAAAAGTAGTGGTAGTGGATAAAATTACGTCAAAAGTAATAGAAGTTGTGTGCCACCTGAATTGATTGAATGTGGGGGGTTTTTCTTTATGGGTGTTGGAGATCTTCTTTATGAGGTGGCAAGATATGGTAATTGGTTTGCATGTGATTGGTTAGTTTAGCTTTACTCATTTCGAAAAAAAAAAATGGTTTCGTTTCACCTTCACATGTTATGTCATTTTCATTTTATTTTCTATAATATCATTTTATAAGGTGTCACTCTAGCTAAGCAAGATTTACAATTTATATATAAATGGGAAAAAAATCAATCACACCCCCATAGTTTTAGGAAGTGATAGGCTATAATTCAGTACTATTCAAGTTCAAATCTTGATTAATAACACAAATCAAAGAAAGAGAATAACTGCAAAAAATTTGTTTAAAAAAAAAAAGTGAAAGAGAGGCGGTAACCTAAGAGCTTACTGCTTGCGATGATTAGGGGTGTTAGTTAAGTCGAGCTGCTTCGGCTCAAGTGGCTCGACTGTAGTCTCGGGCTAAGTTCGATCAGCCCAATATTTAACTTCA